CCTTTTACGGGCTATTAATGCCCGTGCCACCTCTTAGGCGGCTTAATCTTTATCAAGCATCATCTGCTTGCTCCTCATAATTACCTCAACAACAATATGAGTGACTGCGCATTAACGCAAACACCGCACCGCGCACACTACACCCACCAGTACACACACATTTATTCCCGTGCTTGGTACCTGCACAACTCACACAGCCCCGCTCCTGTGCCAGTAAGTCCACTACGGGGTCACCATAGCCCGTGCTACTTGGAGCTTGTTCCGAGTAGCTGAATCTATAACAACAACAACAGCCTGCAGAAGGGGGCAGCCTGGCCGAGGGCAAGTCGAACCAGAGCAAGGGGGTGAGACCAATTGTATTTCCTAACTCTTTAATGTGACATGCAAGAGTGCACAATGTGTGTCGTGTCCCTCCTAGAGTGCAGACACCAAGAGTGCACAATGTGTGTCTTGTCCCTCGAGGGCAGACACCAAGAGTGCACAATGTGTGTCGTGTCCCTCGAGGGCAGACACCAAGAGTGCACAATGTGTGTCGTGTCCCTCGAGGGCAGACACCAAGAGTGCACAATGTGTGTCGTGTCCCTCGAGGGCAGACACCAAGAGTGCACAATGTGTGTCGTGTCCCTCGAGGGCAGACACCAAGAGTGCACAATGTGTGTCGTGTCCCTCGAGGGCAGACACCAAGAATGCACAATGTGTGTCGTGTCCCTCGAGGGCAGACACCAAGAGTGCACAATGTCCAGGACTCTACAATAATCGGGAAGATCAAGTACGTCTGGTATGCAGGCGATGAGTCACAATAACGTGGCTGAAGTATGTTGACCAGACCACACACTAGAAGGTGAAGGGACGACGACGTTTCGGTCCGTCCTGGACCATTCTCGACTTGAGAATGGTCCAGGACGGACTGAAACGTAGTCGTCCCTTCACCTTCTAGTGTGTGATCTGGTCAATACACCACCACCCTCCAGCAGATTAGAGAAAAAAATCTTATTTTAATAATAGGTAAAACTGCAATATATTGGGAAAATATATATTTTATATACAAAGGCAAACTCTGGCCTTAACCAACCTCTAACCAAGTTTTCCCTTTATTGTTTACCTTTTGTTCGTCTGCAGTCTGGTTACATGGTTATTTTTGTAACCTGGATCACAAATGCACATTCAAGCGGTTGCTTGCCGCGGCCCGCAGGCCCACGCCCATTACAAGTGCATAATCATTCATACTATACAGTGTACACATTTGTGTGTAGTGACCGGGTAATCATTCATACTATACAGTGTACACATTTCTGTGTAGTGACCGGGTAATCATTCATACTATACAGTGTACACATTTGTGTGTAGTGACCGGGTAATCATTCATACTTTACAGTGTACACATTTGTGTGTAGTGACCGGGTAATCATTCATACTTTACAGTGTACACATTTGTGTGTAGTGACCGGGTAATCATTCATACTTTACAGTGTACACATTTGTGTGTAGTGACCGGGTAATCATTCATACTATACAGTGTACACATTTGTGTAGTGACCGGGTAATCATTCATACTTTACAGTGTACACACGTGTGTAGTGACCGGGTAATCATTCATACTATACAGTGTACACACGTGTGTAGTGACCGGGTAATCATACATACTTTACAGTGTACACACGTGTGTAGTGACCGGGTAATCATTCATACTATTCAGTGTACACACGTGTGTAGTGACCGGGTAATCATTCATACTATACAGTGTACACACGTGTGTAGTGACCGGGTAATCATTCATACTATACAGTGTACACATTTGTGTGTAGTGACCAGGACGCAAAATTTAAAATTGCCGCCAATATCTACAACCCTACGAATTCTTTCACATTTTAAAAGCATTACAATCACCTTCTGTGGTTGATTGTTCAATAAATCCCTGAACTAAATGTTAGACAAATCTCTCACCCTGTCCATGGAGGACAGAAGAAAATGTATATATGCTGGTTAGCATTGTAAATGTGTGGCCACGTCTGTGGTAGAAAAATAATAAAAAAATAATCCTTACACAGACTGGTCCAACACTTTCTGCAGTAATGTAATTCCCTCTAAAATGTCCACATAAGTTCCGGCAATATTTTAGGCAACTAGCCCTGAGTAATCTCTCTGGTTGATTAGAGTACTGAAATCTTTTTTTAAAACTTGAAACATTTTCAATAGGCTTTAGTGCCCTTTGTTTCTCAATCGATTTTTTATTAACGGGTTGATAGATTCCGTTAAAAATAAGGCGTATTCTGCTAGAGAATGGGTTGCGGCGTCTAAATTCTAAGTCATGTCTTACTTTCTGTCTTCCCATTCACAGACACGAAAATGGTTAGCCAGTGTTGGAAACAAAGCCTGTTATCGAAGGCTCCCTATTTAGCCTCCACCAGGAGGCTACTAGCCTAGGGAGACACACAGACATTAACCCAGCCTCATAAGAACAAAGGCAACTGCAGAAGGCCTATTGGCCCATACGTGGCAGCTATCTATAACCACCCAATCCCACTCATATACATGTCCAACCCGCGCTTGAAACAATCGAGGGACCCCCACCTCCTCTTCTGGTACGATATGTTTTGTATCTATGCGCACCATCGTACAAATATCGTCCAGGACAAACAGAAAGTAGAATTTGGTACTATTAATTTTATCAAGCCCGAAAACATACAAATAAAAACCAAACAAAAATGCCTAAGCCTAGGAAGTAAAATGACACATATGTACTATATAAAGTCTGAGATAGTGTGTATTAGGCCTAAGATGGTTAGGTTGGTTTCGAGACGTCCAACCGTGGACATCAAGAGAAAGCTAGATCACTTTCTCCAAGGAGTGCCGGACCAACTGGGCTGTGGTGGATATGTGGGCCTGCGGGCCGCTCGAAGCAACAACCTAGTAAACCTGACTCAACCCTGGCCTCGGGCCGGGCTTGGGGGAGTAGAAGAATTCCCAGAACCCCATCAAGCAGGTACCACGAAGACAAGGGGCGTATCAAGGGAAAGAACTGATGATTGATTGATGAAGATTAAGCCACCCAAAAGGTGGCACGGGCATGAATAGCCCGTAAATGGTGGCCCTTTTAAGCCATTACCAGTATCAAGAGCTGATACTGGAGATCTGTGGAGGTGCGACTGCACCCTGCGTGACGGGAGATGTCTCCCGGACCAAATGGTGACCAGATGGTGAAAGAACGAAGCCATTACGACTATATAGCACTTGGAAGGGTCAAGATTAGTATTTGAGATGTGATATGGGTTATGGAATGGTGCCCAACCGCTTGGACGGTCGGGGATTGAGCGCTGACCTGCATGAAGCGAGACCGTCGCTCTACTGTCCACTCCAGGTGGTTGGGCCAATTACCTCTGAGTTTACATACCTTGCACATTTGAACCTAACCAAATGTGAAGAATCAGCAGAACTATTCACGTACCTTGCGTCAATATGTAATTTAATGTGAAAAAATCCAAATGAAGAGAACTATTGCAAATATTCAAGAAATTTATTTCATTCAAAATGATGTACTACCAGAAATCTGTCAAATATCGAAAATTTGCTCACTTTGTGCACACGACTGTAAACTTTGCATAGATGCCCATTGGGTGGATGTGGGGCCGCATAATTAAACAATGTGTAATTGGTTCAACCACAGATGTAAACTGCTCAGCTTAGTGCTGTGGTCCAGTTCTTGAACCAATCACGACATAAATGACTACCGATACGACCACATATTTGATACGTCTTTAAATACAAAGATGTATAAATATTAAACACACACATCCACATTCAATAAGCATGTATGCATATAAACATACATGAATTATACACGTACTATACATATATTCATATATGCAATTGGATTCATATGTTACATTAAACAAACTAGCTTAGCGAAATGAGTTTTGGGGTTCAATACCCGAGCCCATTACGTGACTTTTCCACTACAGCCCACAGGATAGGCGCATAATAAATTAACACCATCCCAAATCCTTATCCTGACCCCTTCCAAGTGCAATATATATATATTTTGTCGAAATGGCTTGGCGCTTTCCCCTGATAATTCCCTCCCTCCCACCTGTAGTAGTAGTAGAAAAAACTTTCAAAATGAAATACAGTAGGACTAGCAGCCCCGGAAGACAACTACAAAATTTTCTCCCTCACAAGCTTCCATACATCCGCTTGTAGCCCCCCCCCCCCCCCAAATCATTGATACACCATTCCACTTCAACAAAATCGACGCTGCCCCCGACACAGTACGCAAAATTATTCACAAATACAAGAGGGACATTGGGAGGCAGCGACTGATTTGAACCTTTACCATTCAGCTTCCTAGAAAGCCAATCTATACAAGCATGCAATGGTGGCTACTCCACATGTGGATTCCATGAATGAAAAAAAAAAGTGTTTCATACTACATTACCATCGCGTGCTTCCAGCGTCCAGTAGAGACCCTGGACAGGCTAGAAAAAAAGTCACTCAGCTTATACAAATCGTAAAAATATAAAAATATACAAGGCGGAATGGCAAGCCATTTCATTCATTCAACCTTTATTTACACTCGCCATGGGTAATGTGAGGCTGTTCCTACGAGGTGCCGCCCTCAGCTGGCGAGGTGCTGGCTTCCTCAGCTCAGATGCTGCATCTCTCACCTCAGGACAGCTGAGGAGCAGCCCAATAGCCTTAGCATCGAGGACGACCCGCCAATATATGGGTCACGACCTTGTCAAACTCGGCTTTAAGTTCTTTACCATGGAGACCGTCTGACTGAATCACATTCCCAGAATAGCGGTGTCTTGTAGACAGCCCCAGGAGCTCGGCAGCGTCTTGTAAGACACCACACCCGCCCCTCAGACCTCAGCACACCTCCACCAGCCCCACACGCCACTATGGGGCTGCTAGAACCCGAGCAAAATGCCGTATTTATGGATTGACTCAAGGGTAAGGGAGGATCAGCTGGGGCTTGACGGAACGGTTGGTAGACGACTAACCTTAGTGACTTGTCGCCTTCAACGCTATCCACGCTCATCATCTTGACCGCTGGTTCACTCTCATAGCGTGAGGTGCAGCACACACACACACACACACACCAGGGGGTCGCGTCTCACAAGCACACGGGGTGTGGAAATGGGCCTAAAATCCCATCACAGCTTAGATATCTTCACCGATTCCAATTTTAGAAGTCTTGGCCAATACCGAAATGTTGAAGCCTCTGGTGTCGAGGCCGAAAATTTTATAGCATCCAAAACACATCCACGGCAATGATGAGAGTCAGGTGGTGGGGCCTGGCACTCAGGATGGGGTAAATGAGAGGCCCATGACACAAATGAGGCAGGATAAAGAGGATGTACAGCCAACGCGCGCCACGTCCACGGTACCACTGGCAGGCCAGGCGCGTGTCCTCTCGTCCCCAGCCACTCTCCAACAACCTTCACACACACTATGCAATCTTTCAAGTGCCTCTCCCACCCAACTCACTCAATATACCTCTCGATATGCACGCAACAAACCCCCATTATTTCCCCACAATGGCAATGCTGTCCAGCAAGTGGTACAACAGTTTACGAGAAGAGCCTAAATTAGGCAAGTTTACCATCTAATAATAACGCGGCCGTTTTCTCTGGGTTCTAGGAATGGCTCCCACGTTCCCATGGCAAAGGAGGAAACAAACAAAGAGGCAGACAGATGACAAGATGTCTTTCAAGAAATGCCTAAAGATCTCTCATTTTCTCTTTACATTATGATTTGATGTCCCCAAAAGTATAGATGCATTATAGGAAGTATATAATCCGTGTTGGCTATATATGGAATAATTCTGTAACTCGTATAGGAAGCCTAATTATTTCTGTTCGTCAAAGTTAAGGCAGCATCTGTATTCTCTTGTTAATTCATTACAGCTGAATTAAATAATCTTTATGAAGCATAAAATTTTAATTAGGTGAATCAGTTATAGTGATTGTTTGTATAGTGGAAACACCAGGAAGCCTCTTCACCCATGGAAGGCAGCGGCTATTTCTATTCACCCAACGTAGTATATACAGTTATTATTTAAATAAGTATTGGTGGATATAAATAGAAGCTGCCTCGCATGGGCCAACAGGCTTCCTGGTGTTCCCACTATTCACTGGTTGAAGGAATGGCCATTTGGTCCAGAATATTTGTTTACATATGTTGTAAATGGTAAATTGTTGTAAATGGTAACATAGGTAAATTAAATTTACATATGTTGACTGGTAAATTTAATTTGCCAGTCAATCAGCGGTTCAAGTCCTTAGGGCTAAGACTGCTAACCAGACATAACAGGGCGGATCTCACTGAAACATTACTGAACAATTTGGAGGATATTGATCTAGACCACTTCTTCAACCAGGTCAGCTGCTACACTAATAAGGAACAACAGTTTTGAGCTCAAGCCACAATGCAGGACAGAAAACATATGTTTTTTTTTTTTACCCACAGGGTTTTAAACCCTTGCAACCGCCTAACTGTTGAAACCGTATATGCTAAAACACTGCAGATTTCTATAATCCAGCTCGATAAAATCAGGACAAATATTTTGGGAGGACCTCTGACGAGGCTAGGCTCTTCCAGTACAGGCTAGGCTCTTCCAGGACAGGCTAGGCTCTTCTAGGACAGGCTAGGCTCTTCCAGGACAGGCTAGGCTCTTCCAGGACAGGCTAGGCTCTTCCAGGACAGGCTAGGCTCTTCCAGGACAGGCTAGGCTCTTCCAGGACAGGCTAGGCTCTTCCAGGACAGGCTAGTTGGCTAGGCTCTTCCAGTACAGGCTGTAAACTGTAGTTTCTATTCTCAAAGAGTACTTGTTGGCACAGATTGTACACTAGGTTTTTTCTTTCACCTTCACGCATCATTATTATTATTAACATCTTTATTAACAAAATTAATTACAATTTTGCCTAATCTGAGGATTTTGATAGTCTTATTAAATTGAGGATAATGCTAGTATTCACTGTCACGCAGGACAGAGGGTCATACATAAGACAATAGGTCTAAACTGTAGGCTGGAGCACATATATATCATGGTTACAATCAATGTTTTAATGTATGGATATGTGAAAACAACTTTCTATTGTGCACTGCCACACAAGGGCAGGGATGGGTTCATAAGTGATACAGCTTAGAAGTAATATAAATAAAAATTGTTCTTCATTAAAATGGACAAGCAAATTTTGGGTAAATTGTTAGGATGTCGTCCAGAACACCTGAGTCAATAAAATAGTTACACAGTTGGTGGTACAAGAGGCCAGGAGGTCTAAAGTCCTTTACGGTTTCACATTCATCAATATAGTGTTCTAGTGAATGCATTAAAAGGTTTATCACAGAGTTTACAATCTGAGTATTCTGGTAGTGGCTCAGCCTCACTAACCTGCCAGATGTGTCTATAGCCAAGGCGAATTCGCGCAGTGACTACATCACATTGTCTGGTCCGGTTACTGTGCTGACCATACAAATACCTATTATTACAAAACTTGTCATAACTCTTAATACTGGAGCTTCCAGGTCTCTGGACATTTCTTAGTTCTAAATCTGAATTAATTTCTTTAATTTGTATGTTTCTAATAACTGCATTAGATAGTCCAAAGTCATAATCAATGTTTTCTTTCCTGCAAGCCTCATTGGCCAATTGATCTACAAAGTCATGTTTTCCAACTCCAACATGGGATGGGATCCACACAAATTTTATACAAGAATTATTATCATTGGCAAATATTACATTCCATTTAATATTACAAGCTACTTCCGACGTACATTGTGATGGGTTATTTAAGGACTGCAGAGCACTTTTAGAGTCACAGAATATCACTCCACCACCATTGAGCTTAAGGTATTCAGTGGCTAGATAAATACCCAATAGCTCGGTCTGTGTCGTACTTGCCCAGTTGTTCAATCTCTGTGTACTAGTCATGATCATTTCATTCCCTTTGTACACTGCACATGCACAACCTGTTCTACCAGTGCCTAACTGCACAGAGCCATCAGTAAAGGCATAGGATTCAGTCGGTTTGAGAATTTGAAGATGACTGTCAATATGTTACCCGAAACGCATTGCGTAATAGTGGCTTTAGGCATTGTATGTACTAGCTCTATCTATATATCAATCCATTAATGTAACATCACTTGTATGTATGTATGTACCTTACCTGAATAAACATATTTATTCAATAGCTTCTAATAGTGGACGCTCAGCCTACACCACGCCCCAAACAGTAGTAGAAATTGATATTGGTGTTTCATTATCAGTGACTACTAAAATATCTAATGAAAATCTCACTGGCCTAACAAATTCATAAAGGCCTGAAAATCGTAGCATTAAATATGATCAATATCGTGAAGACATTTATATATATATGGAACTAATAGAGCAAGAACTCGGCATTGTGATGTTATAGTGGCCAGAATACGCCTGGGATATAGACGTATCTGGCAGCTTTCTCAAAATCCAAATGTCGAGGACACAATGTATCAACTTTGTGGAAGAGAAAACATGCACTCCCTTGAACAATATATTGTAGAATGTCTGATATTGACCGACTTTCGCCCTCCTGGGCTGAGGTAGGCTGAACTAACTACTATATGAATACTGGAACACTTGATATATTGGACTTGTACCCAAAATTCACTATGTAATACACGTGTTATACAATGTATGTACCTATAACATGAGCTTATAAAAGCATCTTAATTACCTTCAGTGGTTAAGTGTTTAATAGCACACTAGTTTCTCAAGAAGCTATCTTACCCTGTCAAAGTAGGAGACACATGGGTGTATATGTATATATGTGGATATATATATATATGTATATATGTGGATATATATATATATATATATATATATATATATATATATATATATATATATATATATATATATATATATATATATATATTTATATATATATATATGTATGTGCATATGTATACAGGGTATGTGGAAGCTGGTCAGAATTGCATTTCACCTTTGTAAACGCACATTAATGACTATGTAAAAAGACACTTCAAACTATGTAGGACAGACGTAAATCTAATTTATGTTTGTAAGTTAAATTAGTGTTTTAAAAGCACTACAATCACTGTCAACTAATAAACCACTGAATTATATGCTTAACAGATCTCTCACCCTGTCCATAGAGGACAGAAAATGTATACATGCTGGTTAGTATTGTAAATGTGTGGCCACGTTTGTGGTAGAGAAAAGAAAGTACAGGCTAGTTGGCTAGACTGATCTCTAGTGTCTTGCCAGATGGAGGTATGTAACTAGTTCACAGCTCTCTCTCTAGATCTATTATACTCTCTAATCTCTCAAGAGTTCCTGCAACCAGGAGTTGTTACCTAGTAGTAAAATAGGTACCTGGGTGTTAGTCAGCTGTCACGGGCTGCTTCCTGGGGATGGAGGCCTGGTCGAGGACCGGGCCGCGGGGACACAAAGCCCCGAAATCATCTCAAGAAAACCACTACCAGACCTCTCGGGTTAACGTAGGCCCGCATTAAACAGCTTGCTGGACTTTTAACAAGTCCAGCACGACCCCAGGCAGGACTTCGGGTGGAGTAGAAGAACTCTTACAACCCACTACAGGTATATAGAACAGGGTGGCAACACATTGCTATTTACGTAACCTGGTTAATATAGATAATTCTCAGTGATTGTCAATAATTAGTTTTTATGCTCATTAGTTTATGCCACATAAGCCTATACTTGGCGCCCTCAGTACTTCAACTGTCAGGGGTAATCACAGTGATTAAGAATTAATTTAACGAGGCTTTTCTCCGGAGTAGTTATGAAGACCTCGGTATAATGATTGCAACAGCAACGTGTTTATGACGTGAACGTTGTTACAAGGGAGCCGGTCGGCCGAGCGGACAGCACGCTGGACTTGTGATCCTGTGGTCCTGGGTTCGATCCCAGGCGCCGGCGAGAAACCATGGGCAGAGTTTCTTTCACCCTATGCCCCTGTTACCTAGCAGTAAAATAGGTACCTGGGTGTTAAGTCAGCTGTCACGGGCTGCTTCCTGGGGGTGGAGGCCTGGTCGAGGACCGGGCCGCGGGGACACTAAAGCCTCAAGATAACCTCAAGATAACGTCAAGATAACCAGCACTTGAGACTCGTCTGGTGCCGTCAGTTATTATTATTATTAACATCTTTATTGACAAAATTAATTACAATTTTGCCTAATCTGAGAATTTTGATAGTCTTATTAAATTGAGGTTAATGCTAGTATTCACTGTCACGCAGGACAGAGGGTCATACATAAGACAATAGGTCTAAACTGTAGGCTGAAGCACATATATATCACGGTTACAATCAATGTTTTAATGTGTGAATATGTGACAACAACTTTCTATTGTGCACTGCCACACAAGGGCAGGGATGGGTTCATAAGT